CTGCTCCTCTCCTGGATGGTGCAAAGTCTTGAGAACTCAAAGGAAGAATAAAGTTTTCCAGATTTTCTTTGCTCTGCAGGCAGAGGCCTGACAGACATAACCAAAGCTATCAATTTCTCAAGTTTGTAATCCTTCTAGGTTTTGGAAAAGTATTTTTTTTTAATTTTGGGGATTTTCTATAACTAAAAAATTTTAAGGTTTAGCCAGCTTCTTGCTTAACTCGCCTTGGAGTCCTCAAAGAAAACCCAATTATATTTCCCATAGACATCTTCTATCTGTCTGTGGATGTTTCCATATTTGATAATACCACAATTTTATTTCTGATTATGAGAGCCATTTATAGAGCTCTAGTACCATGGAACATAGACTCTGTAGTGTTTTCACTATTGCTGTATCGAAATAAAGATAGAAGCCTAGATTTTTTTCATAAATTCAGACCCATAAATTATTCCCTCCTTTGCTTAGAATGCCAATGGCAAAATATAACTGTCAAGAAATATAATAGTAAGTATATAATTAATGAAAAAAATCACTAGTAATTAAAGAAAGTTATGAAAAAAAATCAGTTCTTCTTCCTCTTTTAACTGGAAAAGAAATGTCATCCTACTCTTCGATGCATTGCCCTATTTTTACATCACATGAGAAAGAGCATACGTTCAAGTAATTTTAATGCTTGTCTCTGAATAAATCATTAATTTGGATGGAGAATTCTTCACCTGAATTAAGTCAGGTGAAGAGTTAATTTTCCCCTTAAGCAAGTTAGGTTATTTGGTATATGTGTGATGATATTTTTGGGTGAAGTGCAGGTTTTTTTCTCTGCTTCACTAAGAGCTGAAAGATTGCAAATGTCTTTTTGTTCCTTTGGTGGAGTATCTGACCAACATTCTTTCATTCTTTTCCTTTTTGGTTAAAGTAGGAAAACTTCCACTTTTGTTCACTTAATAACATTTCATTTCATTCCGTCTTGAGCCTCCTTACTTCAGAGATAATTTTTCTAATGCTGAGAATTTCTTTTTAATCCTTTATTGTAGAAGGTGATCAAAGCATTTTCCCAAAATGAGATTTTGTAATGGACTTGCTGTATCCATAAAGTTGAGTACTGAATGGTATTGCAGAACTGTCCTTTTACAGGAAACTAAACCCATTTTTGTCACTTTTACTTAAATAATGCTATTAAGCTGTATGTTACTTTACTACTATACAATACTACTATGTACATATATATACACTCATTTTTTTCCCCGGCATTTACAGAACAATGATATTCCAATCAATAATTATAAATGTTAAAGCTAAATTTTAAATTTATAGTAGTATTGTATATTAGTATATAAATATAGTATATACGTACTATACTACATATTAGTATAGTACATATGTATATACTACATATTAGTATATACATATATATTACACATAATATACACATTAGTGTATACATTATATATACACATTAGTATATACATTATAATATACACATTATTATATACATATATACTATATATACACTACATATTAGTATAGTACATATGTATATACTACATTAGTATATACATATATGCTATATGTATATACTAATATACAATACTACTATAAATTTAAAATTTAGCTTTAACATTTATAATTATTGATTAGAATATCATTGTTCTGTAAATGCTGGGAAAAAAATTGAGTCTGAATCTTAACGTTCCCTGACTTTCTTTCCAAATGTCACAAAAACTTACCTTCACTTCTCTCAGGTTCTTTGTTTCTAAAAAGAAAATTATATTGAATATCTCTACTGTGTCTCTATGTACAGTAGTGTGGCTGAAGCGTATTGATAAAGCCAAAGTGAATTTTAAAGATCATACAGCTTCTTTTTGCTGCTACTTCTGCTGAAGAAATCTCCTGTGCCAAAAGCGCTTTTTTTCAACTTAATTAGTTGGCCCACTAAAATATATTACCCGCCCTAGTGATTTTTGAAAAATTCTTGGAGCTGAACAGATTTTACTCTTAAGGAAGCCAGTTGCAAAACTCTTAGTGAGCACTTTTGAAAACTCTACTCAACGTATGTTTTAAAGCAGTGCTTAGAAAGGATTTGGGGGCATAGTTTCTTACCTTTCTTCATTCTTATTACTTTGCTGTTCTGTGGAGCACTGTCTTTGAAAAAAGTGGTTGTTACAGCACCCCCGATCTTTTCGTTGCAATGGAAGCTGAAACATAAAACAGGTTACAGAAGTCAGTATCCAATACAAGAGAAATGGCTTGTAGAGCAGAGGATTTTGGAGTTGGACTGTTGAGACAGTGCTACGTGTTTTACAGACAAGTGAGCCGTTTTGGTCATTTTTTCCAGTTTGGGTTAAAGAAAAAACCACGTTACCCATGAAAAGCACACATCTGGCAAGAATACTTAAGTGAGTTCATGAGATTAATAATCTGAAAAACTTGTTTAATTTATACAGGTATTTCCACCCTTTTCTGAAAAATAGTTTTGTAAGGGGGCTTCTTATTGTACATTTCTATATTTCTTTTAGCCAGAGATTCACCCCTTGTTTAAAACAAATCTCCTATTAGAGATGTGGGTCTAAATTATACCTTTAGATCTTATTAAACTGTTTGTTAACCTTTGCAAACATGTGGCTTTGAAAATTGTATAAACTCAGTTTTTAATGAGAACCTGCCTTTCTGAGTCCACACACAATTCTCGGTCAGAAAAGGAGATTTTACAGCAATAGCACATAATTCACAAGGTCTTGTAAATTGATTTTTCAGCCTTGCAGTGATGGATTTTGGCCTGATGTTTGCATTATCCACAGAGCGTGTATTACTGTACCACATTTATCTAAATGAAGGCTGTATTTAAAAGATATTGTTCTGCTGGAGACTAAAGGGAATGCATTTTAATAATTGACAGACTGCCTTATTGTCTGTTGACTATGTTTATGCATTCAGCAAGAGTTATTGGATCATATACCAATAGAAACCTTCTAAATATCAAACACCTGGTTTCAGCTCTAAGTCTTTCTGACAAAGGACTGGTAAAGCACAAGTTAGGGCACAAAGTTTGGAGAGCTACAGAAAATCATTCTGATTTTGACAATGAGTTTTCATCAATCATTTAATCAAATTACATGGAATATATCATGCCCTCCTATATTCAGCTTCCTTTTCCCCTAATACTTTTAGCAAATTAAACAAACAAACAAACCCCAAAACAAAACCAGGAGCAAAAACCTACATTAAGAGAGTTTTGATAAGATTATGCCAAGCATCACAAAATTAAGACATACCCAAACAGAAATTGCTCTTGAAATATGGAGCATTAACTTGCATGCTCACTAAAATATATTTTTTAAAGGATCAAAATCTTTATTCCCTCCATGAAGTTCTGTGATTCCTAGAACAAGACTAAGAGCATAGGCAGCTGTTCAACAGGATTTTTTGTCCTCATTCAGTGTATGCTTTCCTTTGTTGTTTATTGCCTTCTATTCAGCTCAGAAGACGTAACTGTTAATTTCCTTATAAACACCACTCAAATATGTAAGTGCTCCATAGGCATTAATTAATGTATCATACAAGCTCAGTTATGAAGTGAGGCGGGCCATCATCATCATTTAGCACATTAATAGCTGCAGTACAGAAAAATTAAGGTGAATGTAACCATTAATATATGAAATATATTTTTGGAGTCCACCAAGGAAGGGATCCTGTGGACCTTCCTTACGTTTCCCACTACCTACATCTACTGTGCACTGTAGAAAATAATTATTCGTCTAAGATATCCTTTTGGGGTAAGTACTCTCTGGGCGTGTAGTTAGGTATTTCTACATCTGTATGCAAAGGGCCAACTTAAATTTTGTCTCTTTCAAATTTTTGATGACTATATTTTGCAGTAGTATTCCTTACAGCCCAGTTGATTCTTTCTTTGTTTTTCATTCCACTATGGGTATTTATTGTAGGATTTTGAATGGATTTATTTAGATGGCAACTGTGTAGATACTACTATGGAATATTTTTTTCGCTGTAGCAAAAATATCTTTTTTTATGAGGATGCACAAAAGTTTCTTATTTTTATAGGCTCTCTAGTAATGGGTCACATTTTCTCTGTTCATTTATGACTACTCTGTTCACTGTTACAAGACACTTATTCCTATTGAAAATTATCTATGAAGAGATGTGAAAGTTCCTCTGAAAATTTTGAGGATGACTGAATGATAGCCTTTAACATCTGCCATCAGTGAATGAATGGATTGTCCATAAACTGACAAGACAACAAAATAGTCTATCATGTTAACTAATAGATGTTATTTACTTTTAAGTTTGATGCTGTGAAATATTTTACCAGTAGGTACAAAACTATAAACCAAGTGCTAAATATTTACTTCATTGATTCTCAAAACTCCCTTGAGAGCTCTTGTGTCCTTTCCTGACTTCCAAAGTTTTATTAACCAAAACCAGGCTGTGCTGTGGGTGACAGCTATGGTTAGGAAAGAAAATGGACGCTCACGTTCTAGCGAGTAGTACATCAGAAGTAAAGGAGGATTTTTAAATTCTTAGCAATTTGAGAAATTGAAGGGGTCCCTGTTTATTGTAGGAAGCAAGTATTTTCAGTGTTCTTATTTACAGGAAAACAACTGGTATGTGTAATCTTACTGATAGAGGATGGGTATCTTCTTCCCCAGAAAACCCATTCTGGGTTGGACACTTTTATTAACACGTTAATAACCGAGTAACAGATTAGTGATGCAAAATGGATTACTTTCTTACCTAGCAGCATCTGTTCCATGTTTTCAACATTATCTGCTGTGGGCAAAGAGGTCTCAGTGCTACTGTTTTGGTATTCTTGTGAAACTTTGTAAATCAACTGTTCATTTGGTCACTAGCAAAGAAACATTTAAAACAAATGTCAGTGCCACGTAGGCATTCAGAGGACTTTGCTGCCTAGTGTTTTCCTTCAGAACAGAACCTTTATAGCACGTGAGATAGGTGTAATGCAATAATTTTCTTCTTCTTTCCCTTAGGCATTTCCTGGAAATACAAACTCTGATAGTGTGGTCCGGCATGATTTACAACATCCAGTTATTGCTCGCTATGTACGGATAGTTCCTTTGGACTGGCATGGAGAGGGCCAAATTGGGTTAAGAATTGAAGTCTACGGTTGCTCCTATTGTAAGTTTTTCCATTATTATCCTTTTTTTAATTCCCCTAAATAAAAGCTGGATTTGGATCTCAGATTAAATCTGAATCTCAAGTACTTTTTGCTTAGATAGATTAAGATGTTCCAGGATTGCTAATTATATAGCCCAGGGCTTCATGAAATATTTATTGTAACCTTAACTCTGAGTTGCTAGTTTGTTCTTCTCTGGAAGATGCAACATTGGAATTCAGGGTAGTACTTTGAAGTTGCTCCTTTTGATCTTCATGGTTGCTTTTGCAGAAGACTTTTACTGTTACATAAGCTTGAACAGGCCAGTTGAGAGAAAGACAGTATTCAGACAAATGTCATGTTGGATCTTGAGGGGAACAACTGGGAAACAGGGCATAATTCATTGCCTGGTGCTAGAGATAAAATTAAAGCAAATAAATAAGAATTCTATCAGAGTAGCTCATATTGTCTAAATACGTGACATGTTTTTCAGAGGTTTTTCCTTTAGTATTTGAATATGAGTTTAGAATTTCTTTTGAAATCCAGATAACCAACGGTACAAATGCTTCTGAAGGTAAGAGCAGAACTGATTATGTTTTAAGAAAAGCAAGGGCAGTTTCTAAATGCCCTTCCTTGAAATCAATCCAGCCAGAGCTTAAAGAAAGTTTACAAACCTGCAGGAAATTAAGTGTCTGATGTCCTATTTCTAAGTATGTATTTTTTATGCAGTATCCTGGATTTGTTGATATTTTAGCTGGAAGGAGCTATTTGAGATTTGTCTTTCAATAACCAGGTGTTAGAATAAGGTAAGGAGCACACATCTGGAAGTCTCATCCGTTGACTTTACTGGGTAGTATATGGCATATGGGAACACTTTGCCATCCTAACTAGCAAAAAAGAAAAATGCCTTGTGATTTCAGTTGTTGTTTTGATTTGGATAGATAGTCAAAAGGCCATATGCTTTCATTTAGCACCAATAAGAACTACGAAGAATAGAGTTTTGGTATTATTTTTCCTATTTACATGCAATGAATTAAAGCCCGATTTTTTAAAAAAATTATATATTAAACCACAGAGAATTTCCCAGCAGCTGCAGTAACTTAGTTGAGAAATCAGATCAAACTTGCTGTGGTGTTGGTGCTGCGGTGCTGAGAGCACACACGGCTGTTAGATACATTCGTAAAAAGACAACAGTGTATCTGTAATCCGAGGAACGGTGGGTTATTCTAAAGCTGATTCTTACTCAAAGAGAAACTGAGCTTCTGAAGTCTTAGGTACCACTGTGATTATTCAGTACATGGCTCTTAATAAACAAGTGTTTACCATCATACTGCTAAAATGTTTTACGTGCTGTTTTAAGTGTACCAAACACTACAGCGAGGTTAATTTTGCAGTGTGATGAATACTCACTTTTAAGTATACCTCCTTACTTGTACATCAAATGCAAATTCAAGTGTTTGATACAAGAAACCAACATCTAGTTTACTATGAAATATGAAACTCTCTAACAGAAAAAATGTAGCAGAATCAAACAATAAAACTCAAGATCTTTGCTGCAGTATTTACAGGTAAAAGTAGTAATCTTTTTTTGATGAAATGGATAGACAAAATACTGTAGGTACATGACAGAGGCTTAAAGTAAATGTGAGAAAAAGTAAAACACAGCTTGTTGACAAAATTATTTCAGTTATTTCATGAAAAGTTGCTTGTTTGACAGACTTTTGGAGGAGAATAAAAAGTGTCTGCCAAGGAAACAATGTTTGGAACTCTGAAAATACTGATAAAATGTGTCTTCACAGAAAAACTGAGGTGGCCAAACAAAACTTTATAATTTTACTGAGAGAGTATTTCTGGTCTGTTTGTATTAGAAGTGATTTCAATAATTGTTGAGGGTTTTTTTGTATAACATTAATAGTCATATTTTACATTTTTATGTGTATAGGGACTTTTCTTTCAAAAACCCTCCTAAAATGCAGTGTGGTTTTTACATGCAGGAACGGGGCTGTCCCCAAAATGCTATTAGTAGACAGCAGCAGAGCAGGTGAGAAGAAAAGCTAAAAATTCACTGTATTGAGAGAGAGGAAAGCAGCCCTTTAGTATGACTACTGGAACAAGGGAGTAGTGTGTACAAATTCCCAACTTGTCTTCGGATGTGTCATTTGGAGCCAGCTATATAATGGTATATTGTTCCATGTAGACGTGTCCTTTGGCAGAGGCAAAGTTTTTAACCTTATGATTAGATATATTTGCATATAAATATAAGCACTGTCATTAACCAGTATGATTTGCAGATTAACCCTGCTGTCATTGAAGGAATTGGCCATTTAGATAATCAGTAATTTTCAAAGCCTGATTAAAAGATAGGCTTCTAGTCAAATCTGCCCCAAATTTTGGAAACTTTACCTAAATAAAAAGGCTGCCCAATATGTTGTAATCATAATTTTTCTTTAAGTTTATAGTTTCATATTGAATATATAATTTTATTTTATTTAGCTATTTTAGAGAGCATGTTTTCAGATATAAAAACTGGGTATTTTCTCACAGTTCAAGCAAGGGTTAATTGGGAAGCCATACACTTAGTGACTACAAAAACTCTTTCCTTTCACATTAATGCAACCTGGTCATTAGTCTTAGAGTATTAAGAAAAATACTTCCTCGTATTCAACTGCTTATTCAAAAGTCAGGTCATTAATTGCCGTATTTTCTGGTTCCTATTTTGTTTGGCTATGCATGTAAAATACACTTTTTTTTTTTTTTTTTTTTACCAGAGGTGAAATCCATGTTCTTCCTTGCCCAGCAAATTGAAGTTAAAAAAGAGGTGTGAGTTCCAGACAGGGATGAGAGCTCAAATCTGTTCCCTGGATAAGTTCATAGCATTACCAAAACTTCTTCTTTCACTTTTATTTTGCTTTAAGTTTGAAATCTGGGCTGTCTTTGAAAATGCACCTTTGTATTTTGTGTAGGTGAGATCTGTGGGGTTGTCTTCTGACAGAAGAGCTCATAGAAGTCACCAAAAAAGAATTAGGGCCTCATTCTACAACAAGATTCAGACTGAACTTTGTGTGTTTATCTGTGAATAAATGGTGACGTTGAATTTAGAAAATATTTTCATTCTCCATAGAGCAAAAGTGACTATGTCTTATTAAAAAAAAAGTATTAAAATTGTTTAAATAACTTGCTTAATGGCTATGTTAATAGAGAAGTTGCATGAGAAAAATGAGCTTGGAAAACAACAACAAATAGACTATTATGTAACATAAACAACATTTTTTAGTCAATGGGAGTTTTAGCTTTCATTTTACAATTATCTCTTTCATACACTGTAAAGGGAAAAAAGGTCTTTACACGTGCAGTGACATCATTTATCAAAAAGCAAGTCACAGAGAAGAAAGCAATATAACCAAAGGCAAAATATCCACCGAATCGGTTGAGTCAAAACTGGTGGCAGATTTTTATTCATGCTCTTTTGGAGACAGAGAGCAAAGGCACGTTGGTTATGTAACCACATCCTTGCTGCCTGTCTCAAATGATGTCCACGTTTATGAATTCTTGAGACAGGCAGCAAAGAGGTGGCATCTAGAGGCTATGGCAACTACAATGTAGTATATTCTACTGCTGATTGGTGAACATCATAATAAGCTCCTGCAGGATCATTGCCATATGAATAGTTCCCTTAATCTCCATCCTGTGGCAGATGAACGCCTACCAAAATGGCAACAGCGATACTATTGCATAGTCTTTGGCTACGCTTTTCCAGATAACTGTATGAGACCTTCTAGGTGCTGAAATGCTATGAGTGGAAAGCAGTCACTGATACCTTTTTTTTAAAGAGTTTTTTTGATATGGCTGTATTGATTTTCTGCATCTAAACCGTACGTCTGAATCTTTTTGATGCAGTTGTACATCTGATGGTAAGAATTCTCAAATTCCAAATGATTCACTTCTGAAGTGTAGGATACACTTGGAAAAAACCACTTGGAGGTGCAGAAAGTCATGCAAGCACTCGATATACGCAAGGCAAATAGGCAGCAGGAACAATGATAGAGCTCCATGAATGGCTGCAAACTGAGCTGTTTCCTTTCATTGACCAGCTCTGTTTGCTAATGCTTAGGAAGCAGTGGGACAGAACAAATGTCACCTGAGCTGTGTTTGCAGGTCTGTTCGTTGCAGTTATTAGCTATAGTACTTGCATTGTGCTATGTCAGACATTACTGTTTCAGTTTCTGATGGGTGACTGATTTTTTTAGGGAGGGAAAAGAAGGAAAAACAGTAACCACAGTCCTTAGGGTTTTATGAAATAATGAATGTTTGTATGGAGAACATTTACTCTCCAGATAGTAAAGTGAACAAAACCTTTGTCATGTAAACATGTTAGGAGAACAAAAATAAGGTTTGGAGATGCTGTTAAGGGATGAGCCAAGTGAATGTTTGCAAGAACTGATTAGGAAGTATTGAAGTGCTAAAAACTATGGGCTGAACAGATCTTTTTGGTAATTGTTAGTGTAGTTAATCCTGTCTGCCTGCAGTGACTTTGACTTAAGCCATTGTTTCCTTTGGCGGTTAATTCCACATTCAGCTATACTCATTGTTAGGAAATTTGGTGTGATACTTATTTGAAATCTCCTTAGCCTGGTTTCATTGGCGCCAACTAACTATCCATCTCTCATTTGGTCTCACATGGTTGCCATACATACTTAATGAGAGACCTCCATCCTGTCCGGAATCATCTATTGCATCCAAACATCACAGGGACTATTAAAGGTAGATGAGACAGATGCTATTACTTCCCTTTTGTGGAATCTAATCAAGTTGCACTTGGCCAGATTCAATAGTATACTCTGGACATTTTGTTTCACTAACATAACATTTAAAAAAAAAAAGTATGTGCCAAAGACCCTGAAGTGTCATGATTGCTATTGGAACACCCTGTGCTGAATAAAATGCATCTCTATATGTATATAAATGTATGCATACATATTTCTGCTATTACACTTTTGGTACCTATGTGAATATTCACTTAAAT